ATAATAATAATAATAATAATAATAATAATAATAATAATAATAATAATGGAACACTGAAGAAAAAAAACAGAAGGCCTGATTCTTCCAGCCCAAGAACAAGCCATCAGAACGAATGTAATCAAAGCCAGAATAGAAAAATCTGCTGATGACCCCAAATGCAGACTCTGCAAAGAAGCCGATGAAACCATTGATCACATACTGAGCTGTTGCAAGACTGACTACAAACAACGTCACAACACAGCCGCTCAGATGGTCCACTGGAACTTGTGTCACAACTACCATCTGCCTGTAGCAAAGAACTGGTGGGATCATAAGCCTGAAAAAGTGGTCGAAAATGAGCATGCAAAACTACTGTGGGACTTCTGAATACCGAGTGACAAAGTTCTGGGACACAATACCCCGGATATCACGATTGTGGAGAAGAAAAAAGTGTGGATCATCGACATTGCCATATCTGGTGATAGCAGAATCGATGAGAAACAACTTGAAAAAGTCACCAGATATCAGGACTTGAGAATCGAACTGCAAAGACTCTGGCATAAACCAGTGCAGGTGGTTCCAGTGGTACTCGGCACACTGGGTGTTGTGCCTAAAGACCTGGGCAACCACTTAAAAACAATTGGTGCTGACAAGATCACCCTTGGTCAGCTGCAGAAGGCCACCTTACTGGGATCTGCTCACATAATCCGCCGATACATCACGCAGTCCTAAACACTTGGGAAGTGTTCGACTAGTGATTTGTGATACGAAACCCAGCATGGTTATCTCGTCTGCTGTGTATACTGTCATTTTTGTGTACAACAACAACAACAACAACAATAATAATAATAATGTATGATTTAAACATTTATTTATTTTTATTTATTTGATTTGTCCATTGCTTACAAGATAATAGGTATAAGTATAAACATGAGTAAGAATACAGGAAATAGGTACAATTAAATTGGGACAATAGGACAGGGACGGGAGGAACGATGGTGCACTTATGCACGCTCCTTACAGACCTCTTAGGAATGGAGTGAGGTCAGCAGTGGATAGTTTGAGGTTAAAGGAGTGGGGGTTAGAGGATGTAACAACAGAGTCAGGTAGTGCATTCCAGGCATTGACCACTCTGTTGCTTGAAGTCATACTTTCTGCAATCAAGTTTAGAGCGGTTAACATTGAGTTTGTATCTGTTGTGAGCTCTTGTATTGTTGTGGTTGAAGCTGAAGTAATCATTGACTGGTAGGACATTGTAGCAGACAATTTTGTGTACTACGCTTAAGTCCAACCATAGGCGGCGTAGTTCAAGATTGTCCAAGCCCAAAATTTCAAGTCTGGTGATATAGGGTATTCTGTTGTGAGCAGAGGAGTGTAGTACTCTTCTCGTGAAATACTTCTGGACTCGCTCAATTGTATTAATGTCCGATATTCAGTGCGGATACCAGACAGATGAGCTGTATTCAAGTATTGGTCTGGCAAAGGTTTTGTATGCCCTAGTTAGCAATTCAATATTTCCAGAGGAGAAGCTTTGTAACATTTGATTTACAACTGTTAATGCCTTTTTGGCAATGCTGTTACAGTGAGCTCTGGTGCTTAGATCATTAGATATGAATACTCCGAGATCCTTGGCAGAGTGAGGATCATCAACGAGGTCATATTTGCCTAGTTTGTATTTGGCATACTGATTTTTTTACCAATGTGTAGGACAGAGCATTTGTTGGTCGACATTTGGAGTTGCCAGATGTTTGACCATTGAGACACATAATCAAGGTCACTTTGAAGAGCAGTATCATTGTCGGTGGTGTTGAACATGATTGGTTTGTCGTTGGCTAGTTTTACACAAAGTGGTAGAACATAGTTTAAATCAAGGGTCTTCAAACTTGGCAAGTTTAAAACTTGTGGACTCCCAACTCCCAGAATTCCTGAGCTAATATGACAGGAAGAGGAATTCTGGGAGTTGAAGTCCACAAGTCTTAAAGCTGTCATGTTTGAAGACCCCTGGTTTAAATGGTGAGCTGTTTAGGCAAAAAGCAAATAAGCCACCTTGTGTCTTTAGCCACGTCAGACAAATGGTTGCCCAATCTTTTCTTAAAAGCCTCCAGTCAACTTTTGAAGAGAACGGTTGATTGTTCTCACTGTCAGGAAATTCCTCCTTAGTTCTAGATTGCTTCTCTCCTTAATTACTTTCCATCCGTTTCCTCTCCTGCCTTCAGGGGCTTTGGAGAATAGTTTGCCCCCTTCTTCTTTGTGGCAACCCCTGAGCTATTGGAACACTGCTATCATGTCACCCCTAGTCCTTGTCTACAGAGATTCTCAGTCATCCAGGTCATGGCTGTCCCAAAGTGGTTGTCCCATGATTGTTTTTCAAAACGCAACAGCACTTTCTGGTTTTTCTTTGAAGACATTTCGCTCTCATCCAAGGAGCTTCTCCTTCATTGATTCATTCTTCAGAGCTGAAGAAGCTTCTTGGAGAAGTGAAATGCCTTCAAAGAAAAACCAGAAAATCCAGTTGCCTCTTGAAAAAGCACCTTCGGGGCAACCCCAGTCCTTTTTTTCGTTAAACTAGATGTACCCAGTTCCTGCAACCCCCTCTTCCTATGAGGCACACTCCATATTCAGTGTGCTCATGCGAAAAGCAAATATGTTCCACACCTCACAATGCCAAATGGTCTTTGCTCTGCGTTGATCCTTGTTAAGATTTGCCTCTGTTTTCTTAACGCAGCTGAATTGGAAGATTACTATTATGAATATGAAGACGATCTTCCACCCACGTCACCCCCTGCTAGCCAGACATTGTCACGGATTGAGTTATTTGATGCCCGGCAGCGCCGAAAGAGGGAGACCAAAGACACCGAACAGTCAAAACATGATGTCACTTACGAAGTCTGCTTCTGGTAAGTTAGCGGGAGACCATTTTGGTAGAATTGTTAAGGGTGGGCTGGCAATAAGCAGTGGACTACTTGACAGATTTATTTATATTTTATTTTATTTATTTATTTAGACTGGTTCATTTATTTACTGTATTTTATTTATTTATTTAGACTGATTTATTTCTTATTCTATTTATTTAGACTGGTTTATTTTATTTTATTTTCTGACTGGTTAATTTTTGCTGTATTTTATTTATTTATGTAGACTGGTTTATTTTTTATTTTATTTATTGATTTAGACTGGTTCATTTATTTACTGTATTTTATTTATTTATTTAAACTGATTTGTTTTTTATTTTATTTATTTAAACTGGTTTATTTTATTTTATTTTCTGACTGGTTAATTTTTGCTGTATTTTATTTATTTATTTAGACTGGTTTATTTTTTTTTTTATTTATTTAAACTGGTTTATTTTATTTTATTTTCTGATTGGTTAATTTTACCTGTATTTTATTTATTTATTTTGACTGGTTTATTTTTTATTTTATTTATTTATTTTGACAAGTTTGTTCATTTATTTATTTTAACTGGGTTTTTTTTTTACCTTATTTATTTATTTATTTTGTTTATTTATTTGTTTTGACTGGTTTGTTTTTTATTTATTTATTTTGACGGGTTTAATTTTTACTCATTTTTATTTTATTTTCACAGGTTTATTTATTTGTTTGTTTGTTTATTTATAGCCCACTTTTATTATTTTTACAAATGCAGGTAGTCCTTCAATTGCAGCAGTTCATTTAGCAACCGTTCAAAATTACAACGGCACTGAAAATAGCAACTTATGCCCATTTTTCACACTTATAACCGTTGCAGCCTCCCCCACAGTCACGTGAATAAAATTCAGACATTGGCCATTGACTCGTATTGATGACTGTTGTAGTTCCCAGGGCCATGCTGACCAGCAGAGTCAATGGGGAAACCAGATTCACTTAGCAATCTTGTCACTAACATTAACAACGGCAGTGATTCACTTAACAAGTGTGGCAAGAAAAGTCGTAAAATGGGGCAAACATTCGCTTCACAAATGTCTCACTTAGCAACAAAAATGTTGGGCTCAGTTGTGGCCGTAAGTCAAGGACTACCTGCACCTGTAATATCTGAGCCTCCTAGAGTTGATAAAGAAGCGCAGCTATTTAAATATTTTAAATGAATAAATTTAAATAAATAACACACACACACACACACACACACACACACACACACGGGGAATCCAAACTACTATCGTGTTTCTCATATAATAAGGCCGGGTCTTGTTTTTTTTTTTGAGCCCCGAAAAAATGGCTAGGCCGTCTTTTTGGGGGTGACTTAATTCCGCCCCCCCCTCTTGCATCTTCGGGCTGGCGGTGACGGCTTGGATGTTGACCTCGGCGTTGGTGGGGCACTTCGTATCGGGGTCAACGCAGGCAGCACCATATCCGGGTGTGCAACAAAAGTACTTCCTAACGGCAAGCCCCCCCCACCATCCCCCCCCATTTCTCATGTTTTAATATAGGCCTTAATTTGGGGGGAGGAGCTTAATTTCATTTCATGCCTATAAAACATGCTGGGACTTCCTATTGGGGGAGGCCGTATTGTTGGAGAAACAGGGTACATTCCACCACATGACCATATGTGATAACTACAGGTAGTCCTCGACTTACGACCACAACTGAGCCCAAGATTTATCGTTGCTGAGTGGGACATTTGTTAAGTGAGTTTTGCCCCGTTTTACGACTTTCCTTGCCACGTTGGTTAAGCGAATCGCTGCAGAGATTAACTTAATAATACGGTTGTGCAATGTAACTTGGTTTCTCCATTGACTTTGCTTGTCAGAAGGTCGTCAAAAGATATATCACGTGACCCTCACCCTCCTCCCGGGACGCTCCAACCTTCCTAAATGTGGGTCAGTTGCCAAGCATCCCGTCATGCCCCTGGTGGAGACTGACTCTGAGGGAGAGGAGGAACAGCCAACAGGGAGTGGAAGTGTGGCTCCGGAGGTTGTGGAGGAGGCTGGGGAAGGGCAGAGGCCGGCTGGGCAGTCAGAGGAGGACCCAGGCCCATCCTCTATCCATCCTAGGGCACGGAGGGAGGAGAGGATAAGGGAGAGAGACATGGTCTACTCGGGAGGAGAGGGCCTTGAAGGAATAAAAGGGGCTTCACCTGTTTTCTGTGACTGTGTTTGTTTTGTATCCCACCCTGGGTCATCACACATCCGAATGTAGTCGTAAGTGTGAAAAATGGTCATAGGTCATTTTTTTTCAGGGCCGTTGTAACTTCGAACGGTCACTATTAAATGATCGGTTGTAAATTCGAGGACTACCTGTACAATATCTAACCCTGCCTGAGGTGATGGTAGTGGGGAGTGGGGGGGACATATTATGATGCTCTGTACAGGTTGCCCTTGAGTTACAAACAGTTCATTTAGCGACCGTGCAAAGTCAGAATGGCCCTGAGAAAAGTTCCTAAGGACCAGTTTTCAGACTGAAGGACCATTACGGCATCCCTGTGGTCATATGATCAAGATTTGGTTGCTTGGCAACCAGCGGGTATTTATGATGATTGCACTGTACGTGACCACCATTTGTAACCTTCCCAGCCGGCTTTTGATAAGAAGAATCAATGAGGGAAGCCAGATTCACTAAACCACCACACAATTCAGTTCACAACTGCAGGGATTCGCTTAACGACGGTGGCCAATGGTCGTAAAATGGGGGCACAACGCACTTCATGTTTGTCTCGCTTGAGAATGGAAACGTTGGCCTCCGTTGTGGTCAGGCCTGTCAAACTGGCGGGCCGGATGCATCATAAGTAGGCCACACCCACCCTGGCTCCACATAGGTCACGATACGTCACGTGACGCGGTCGAGTTTGACACGCGTGGTTATGGTTGCAACTCAAGGACTACCTGTGTCAACATTATGTGGTCCAGTTCATCCAAGGTCATTGTCTGATGTTTCTATTAATCCACAGAGGTCAACTAGATCAAACTAAAGGCATTAAACTATCTCTCCCAACTTTTCTCTTTCTGTCTTTCTCTACAGGAGGCAACGGGGGGCTCGTGTTTCTGGCATGGTCATTGTTGACATCAGCCTATTGAGCGGCTTTCAGCCCGATGAGGTGGACCTTGCTCAGGTAGGTCCTGGCAAAGGGTTGTCCTTCCCTTTAATAGCCATAGCACTTAAGCTTGTACACCGCTTCACAGTGGTTTACAGCCCTGTGAAATTATAGAATCAGCCTCTTGCCCACAACAATCTGGGGTCCTCATTTTATGGAACGATGGAAGGCTGAGTCAACCTTGAGCTGGTCAGGATCGAACTGCTGGCAGTCGGCAGAATTAGCCTGCAATACTGCATTCTAACCACTGTGCCACCACAGCCCTTAATACTGGAAAAGTGTGGTTACTCATACAGTATCTACGTCCATGGAAGAAACTCTTGGATCTGGATGCCCCCAACTTGTCCCCATTTAAACAGAGACTGGAGGCAGAAACCCTGAGAAGGCAGGACTTCTCCATGTCTTTCTATCCACCTTTGAGCTTGGTAGAAAATTAAACCAGGGGTTTCCAAACTTGACAATTTAAAGACTTGTGGACTCCCAAGTCCCAGAAATCCTCAGCCGGAAATGCTGGCTGGGAATTTTCTGGGAGTTGAAGTGTACAAGTCTTAAAGTTGTCACCTTGGGAGACCCCTGGGTTAAATTGATGTTACATCTTTGCCAATCCTCTTGCTGTTGGAATAAGGGGGGAAAATATCACAATCCTTCAGTCACCTCTCTTCTGGCTCCCAGAGAGCGGTGCCTGGATTTCAGGTCTTCGGGGCCTGTTAAGTGAACCTAGTTACACTAATGGTGTCAAACTCAAGGCCCGTGGTCTGAATCCGGCCCACAAGTTGCTTAATTCTGGCCCGGGGCCTACCCTGCAAACTGGGAAGGACCAGCCCGTGGTGCCTCTGCCAGCGAAAACGGAGCTTGAGAGGGCCATGCACAACCCCCACCGCCCACCCCCAGGTTCCATTTTCCCTGGCAGAACGCTACCAAAACAAACTAAAAACAAAACAAAAGGAGAAACGTTTCCCCTTTTGCATTTGAGCATCCAAGAAGGGACAGGAAAGGAGAAAGGGGAAAGAGGGAGGGCAAAGAAAAAGAAGGAAAGATGCGAAGAGAGCAAGGAAGGAAAAGGAAGGAAAGAGGGGAAGGAAGAAGAAAGGAGAAGGAAAAGGGAAGGAAGGAAGAGGGAGGGAGGGAGGGAGGAAGGAAAGGAAAGGAAAGGAAAGGAAAGGAAAGGAAAGGAAAGGAAAGGAAAGGAAAGGAAAGGAAGGAAGGAAGGAAGGAAGGAAGGAAGGAAGGAAGGAAGGAAGGAAGGAAGGAAGGAAGGAAGGAAGGAAGGAAGATTGTAATGAGAGGGAGGGAAGGTCTGAGGAAATCTGTCTTAGCAATGAGCCACCACAGGTGCCCCCGACATAAGTGACATTGAGCTGGCCACGCCCCCCCAACCCTCCCCGAAGTCAAACACAATCCTGATGCAGCCCTCAATACAATCGAATTTAACACCCCTGGGTTACACCATCTGCCCTTGGCACCCTCCCACTTTCCCAGTGTTGACAGCAGGAAAATAGTCACCAACTGCAAGACCACTCGGTTTGGGAGATCTGCTGGCTTGTTCCATTCTATTCCTTATGGCTCTTCAATCACTCCCTTCTCCGCAGCTGCAAGAGGTCCCTGACCAATACATCAACCACTGGGAGATTCAAGGACAACGGCTGCTCCTGTATTTTGACCAGGTGGGAGGATTTTCTACAGAACAATATATTCAGAGGGGCGGTTGGAGAAGGCAAGGCAGAGGGGTGGGGTGGCCTAGAGGTGGAGGTCCCACCTCACAATCAGGAGGCTATGAGTTCAATTGTAGGTAGAGGCTGATATTTCTCTCTCTCTCTCTCTCTCTCTCTCTCTCCACAATGAGAATACATCTGCTGCAAAATTCCTCATTGGCAATAGGAAGGGAATCCGGCCAGTAAACACTCAGCTCCATTCATTCGTCCCGACTCCATCCCGCAAGGGTTTTACGGGGTCATTAGACGGTTGGAGAAGGCACAGTTTTATTGACGTATTCAGATGGACTTTGGAGTCCTTGGTGGTTTCAGAGCTTGGTTTGCTTGAAGAGGTTCCATTACCCAACTAAGGAACATCATCCATCGGGCAATGAGGCGTCTGCGAGCAAACAGCCAAGTTCGTAGAGCACCAAGGATTTCCACAGCTCAGCCCTGACCTGCATGCACTCTGCGTCTGTTGAAAGCAGATGTACTTCTCCGGGTCTGCGTGGGAAGGGAAGCTAAAACACACGGGTAGTCCTCAACTTACGACCGTTCATTTAGCAACGGTTTAAAGTTATGACGATCAGCGAAAATGGGGACTTACGATTGGTTCTCTCACATAACAACCATTGTAGCATCTCTGCGGTCACACAATCAAACTTCAGGTGCTTGGCAAACATGTATTTATGAGGATTACGGCATCCGTGATTGTCATTTGTGACCTTCCGGTGGGGTGGGGTGGGGGGCTTCTAATAAGCAAAGTCAATAGAGGAAGCCAGATTCACATAATGACCACAATTCGCTTAACAACTGCAGCTAAAAGGTATAAAATGGGGCACGACTCAATTAATGGCTGCATGGCTTAGCAACAGAACTTCTATTCCAATGGTGGTTGTAAGTTGACGACTACCTGTAAGCCACTGATATCTGCCTTTTTAGACAAGTCCTTATGACTTTCCTTCTGAAGCTAATCTTGTTTCACTGTCTCAAACTATTGTTTGTAAAAGAGCTGAATTGATGCCCGGCTGTGATGACCCAGAGTATATCAGAAATACAACAAAAACCAAAATGTAAAATAAAGTCCTTTAATGCCTTCAACTTGGCTTCACTGTTTAATTGTTCACAGTGGAGGAGTAAACTATTTTCAAAATAACATTTACAAAGGAAAAAAAAACACAGTTCAAATTCAAAGAGCTGATAACGAAGCAAAAACCAAAAACAAACCGCACTGAATAAAGTTCCACGACAGGCCAGGATAGATAATTGCCAACTTCAGGAAGATAACCAGGTACAGTCCGTTGGAAGCACGTCAACCAAGATTAACCTTCTTTAGGAATAAAACACTAAATTGTCTCCAGCGTCTGTTAGCACGCAGGTCCAAACTCTTATACAAATCTCCCACCTGCAACCCATGAAGGGGATCATGGCCCTCTCCTCCCAAGTAGGCCACGTTTTACCCTGATTCTCTCCTCCCTCCGTGCCCTAGGATGGAGAGGGGATGGGCCTGGCTCCTCCTCTGACTGCTCAGCTGACTTCTGCCCTTCCCCAGCCTCCTCCACCTCTGGAGCCACACTTCCACTCCCTGTTGGCTGTTCCTCCTCTCCCTCAGAGTCAGTGTCCACCAGGGGCATGACACCGGATTCATCTGCCTTCTCCAAGCAGCAGCCCACACCCCCTATGTTGTACTATACATCTCATCCTCCTCAGCCCGCACAGTTCTTGTTTACGCTGCCTGGAAATGACTGGAATTATAGCCAACAAGTCTGGAGTTCAGCACGTTGGAGGGAGCTGAACTGCATATTACAAGGTTGTCCTTGACTTACGACCACAATTGAGCCCAAAATTTATGTTGCTAAGTGAAAACATCCGTTAAGTGAACGTTGCCCCATTTTACGACTTTTCTTGCCACAGCTGTTAAGTGAATCACCACAGTTGTTAAGTTAGTAACGTGGTTGTTCAGTGAATCTGGCTTCTTCATTTATGTTTGCTTGTCAGAAGGTCGCAAAAGGGGATCACGTGACCTTGAAGGGACACTGCAACCGTCATAAATATGAGTCCGTTGCCAAGCGCCCGAATTTTGATCACCTGACCATGCAACAGTCGTAAGCGTGAAAAACAGCTACAAGTCACTTTTTTCAGTGCCGTTGGAACTTTGAACAGTCACTAAATGAATTGTTGTAAGTCAAGAACTGCCTGCATATTGATCATCCAATTCACCCCCCAATTGGAGGATAGGTATATTGGACACACAAGGAATTTGTCTTTGATGCAAATGCTCTCAGTGTACATAAAAGGAAAAGATACATTCGTCAAGAGTCAAGAATCATCAGGTACAACACTTAATAATAGTTATAGGGTACAATAAGCAATCAAATCATACTAGGAATCCTAGATCACAGAAGAAAGGTAGAATATGACATTTGAAGTTTAAATATTTCTTTGTGTTTCCAGGCACCGCAATCCGGTCGTGAGTGTGTCGCTTTCCGGGCTAAGCAGATAGTATCCGTGGGAAAACTACAACCAGCCAGCGCCACTGTCTATGACTTCTACGAACCCCGTAAGCCAAAGCAAGCAACAGTTGAGGAGAGGGAGGGGGGAGCTGGTGGGATGCATTTTTTTTTAAAAAAAGCCAGTCTTTGGTGGGGCGCAACTGGTGTGTCAGACTGTCTCCGGAACAGGCATGACTGATTGTGTGTAAAGACTGTTTCAAAAGATATGCTAATTTTGTAGTACAGGCAGTCTTCCACGTACAACCACAACAGGGAGCAGAATTTCAGTCCTAAATCGTCGGTCAAGTCAGATCTGATTTTACAACAGTTTTTTTTACAACAGTTTTAAGTGAATCACTGGGGCTCCCAAGTGTACCGTACAGTCTGTAAGTTTATTATTGGCTTATTTCAATGCATACGGCCTCCCATAAGTCTGAGTGTCTAAGCACGGTTATAAAAAAAACCATAAATGACATAATACATGCATAATCAGCAGTCAAGATACAAGCAAAAACAAAGAACTCAAATCTTCATCCATATATCACTGTTTCACACGCTCGGCCTTGGCTTCCCCAACAGCACAAAGCGGACTCCTCGTCCTGATAATAAACCCCTTTTATTTAGTTGACAGTGAATTCCTCTCCAGCAAAGTCCCAGCCGACAGCCTTTCAAGATATTTCACAATTACAGACTTTTATCAGGCTTGGAGAGTTGCCAGGCCGATATCTTTTAGATGCCACACTGTAGCAGACAAGACTTGGCAAGAATGCAGGAACAGATCTTCACCCAAATAAAACTAATTGTCTCCTGCCAAACCCCAATCCCCTTTCGCTCCTCTTTTATTCCCTATGGGGAGGGCCCATTCACCGTCCACCTGTGGCTTTACTCCCAAGTCGACCCTTGTTCCTTAGCTGTTCCCTTCTTCTGGCAGCTCTGCACATGCGCACACTGGGAACAGGCTCCAGCTGTTCTTCTGCCTCACTGATGTCCGACTCTGAAGGCAGCTGATAACTGTTAGAAGGTCCTGGCTCCATCTCTGTCTCCCATGCAGAACACTCGTCAGGGCCTTCCCCAGGCTCCAGGATTGGTCCATGTTCTTCCCCAATCTCCTTACTGTCCGAATCTGCTGCCAGCTCCACTGGCTGCTGGGGGGCCACAACAGCACTCTGAGCCCCAGCCTGGGGATATAGCCATATTTTCAAGGGTTCAGGAAAAGCCAAGAAGGATGGATTTCAAGGAGTAAATCAGGGGTCTCAAACTCAATTTACCTGGGGGCCGCTGGAGGCAGAGTCTGGGTGAGGCTGGGCCGCATAAGGGATTCCACAAAAAAGGTTGTTAAAAAAATATCCTCAAATGTCATCAACGGTTAATGATTTCTCCAATACGTGAACTGTCCTGAACACATGAATGGAACATTGATTGAAGATCATGAACAGTTCCTCGGAACATGGCTTCTCCAGCTTACTCCTTGCTGCCAGAGACTTGACAACGCTTCCTCTCACATATCTGAGCCACATTTGGCTTGAGAGAGGAGGCACTTGAGACCCTCAGAATGGCTTGAAGATGATCATCAGTAAGTCTGGACCTGTCCTTGGACTTGTTAAAGTTCAGGGTAGAGAAGAAGCCACGAGGAGGAACGGCGGGCGGGACTTCCTTCAGAGGTCCATTCCCCCTGCGGGCCGCACTAATATTATACTTTCATATCACGGTGGGGGCCACAGGGTATCGTCCTGCGGGCCGCAACTGGCCCACGGGCCGCGAGTTTGAGACCTCTGGAGTAAATGGATAGAGAAAGTTATTTTCCTGGCTCCCACCAGAGGGCAGTGTCAATGGGACAGGATCTCCTGCTGGATCTGATGGGATTGGCAGGCACAATTGGGGAGAGGCAGTATCTCAAATAAGCTTCACTCCTCGTATAAACTCAGCTGCTGTCTCTCCTCTGCGTCCAATTATACAGGCATACGGTTCCTTTAATGACCGTTCGAAGTTACCATAGCCCTGAAAAAAACGGGACTTATGACCATTTTTCACCATTACGACCATTGTACAATCCCCATGGTCACTGGATTTACATTCGGATGTTTGACAACTGGTTCGTATTTAAGACGGTTCCAGTGTCCCTGAGGTTGCCGTCTTCTGACAAGCAAAATCAGAGGGGAAGTTAAATAACCGTGTCCCTAATTTAACAACTGCAGGGATTCGCTTAACAAATTTATTTTATTTATTTATTTATTTGATTTGTCAATTGTTTACAAGAAAATAAGTATAAGTGTATACATAGTTATGAATACATGAAATGGGTACATATAAGAAAAATAAAAGGAAACAATAGGACAGGGACAGGAGGCACGTTGGTGCGCTTATGCACGCCCCCTACAGACCTCTTAGGAAAGGGGTAAGGTCAATAGTAGACAATCTAAGGTTAAAGTTTTTGGGGTTTGGGGAAGAAACCACAGAATCAGGTAGCGTATTCCAGACATTGACCACTCTATTGCTGAAGTCGTATTTCCTGCAATCAAGTTTGGTGCGGTTAACCTTGAGTTTGTATCTATTGTGTGCTCTTGTGTTGTTATGGTTGAAGCTGAAGTATTCATTGACAGGTAGGACATTGCAATGTATGATTTTATATACCATGCTTAAATCAGACCGAAGACGGCGTAATTCAAGGTTTTCTAGTTCTAGAATTTCAAGTCTGGTGGCATAAGGTATTATACAACGAGTAGAGGAGTGGAGAACTCTTCTTGTGAAATATTTCTGGACTTTCTCAACTGTGTTAATATCAGATACGTAATGTGGGTTCCAGACTGATGAACTGTATTCGAGTATTGGTCTAGCAAATGTTTTGTATGCTCTAGTTAGTAGTGTGATATTACCAGAGAAAAAGCTACGTAAGATTAGGTTAACAACTCTTAATGCCTTTTTGGCTATGTAGTTGCAGTGGGCTCTAGCCCTAAGATCAGCAGTTCCCGACCTTTTCTTCGCCCTGCACCCCTAAAGAAATTTCACTTGAACCTCGCACCCCCTGAAATAAATAATAAATAAAAATGCCAACATATAGCCAATATCCTATTATTTACCTAGACTTTTCTCGCACCCCCTGGCATATCGTCTCGCACCCCAGGTTGGGAACCCCTGACTTAGATCATTAGAAATGAGTATTCCAAGGTCCTTTACAGAGCTTGGATCATCAACAAGGTCTTGACTATTCAGCTTGTATTTTATTTTCTGATTTTTTTTGCCAATATGTAAGACAGAGCATTTATTTGTTGAGATTTGAAGTTGCCATTTGTTTGACCATTCTGATACATAGTCAAGATCTTTTTGTAGGGTAGCAGTATTGTCTGTGGTATTGAACAGCTTTACATCATCAGCGAAAAGAACGCAATTGCTCTTAATATGATCACAGATGTGATCACAATGTGGCAAGAAAGATCATAGAATGAATCATATAAATCAGTATTGATTTAAAACCAGAAATATTTCTATTGGGGACTCTACCCGAAGAATACCGTAAGGAAAATGCATATTTTGTTAGTCAAATCTTGACTGCAGCCAGAATTGTATTTGCACAAAATTGGAAGAGTGAAGAGATACCTACAGATGATAATGTGATTAGGAAAATATTAGAATGTGTGGAAACGAAGAGATTAACATTGGCAATTAAGGAGAAAAAGCAAACCGAATATTATATGCTATGGGATTTATTCCATCAATGGTTAAATAATAAAAATGGAAGTTAGAAATAGGGAAGCAAAATAAAGATGATGTGTTAAAAGTGATAAGTTTTAGTGACATGATGACTAACATGTTGAATATTACTATGTTAGTACGGTGTAATTAATTCCTATAATTAATAGATGGATATTACTATGTTAAATATTGCAGAATTAATGTGTAATGATGTTGTAACTTTGATTATTGTTTAACAAAGACAACACACTGTTCATGGAATCACTCAAGATGGAATGATTGTTTTAAAAAAAAAAATTAATAATTTAAAAAAAAAGAAAAATCATAACATGGGACAAAACTCACTTAACAAATTTCTCGCTTGGCAACCTAAATTTTGGGCTCAGTTGTGGTTGTAAGGTGAGGACTACTTGCATCATGTTCCTCTGACTATTCCACTTTCCCACTTCTAGATCAACGTTGCAGCATCTTCTACGGTGCTCCCAATAAGCCACAGTACGTGTCTGCCTTGTGCTCAGATGATGTCTGCCAGTGTGCTGAAGGTAAAGTCACCTGGATTTTAGATCAATGGTTTTAAGGTCTCTAAATTCAGAGGAACACGTGGTCACAGGGGCTGCCCTCCTCCCTCCAAAGCACAAATACAAGCCAAGTTTAGTTCTGTATGATTAACCAGAAAGGTGGATTTTCAAGGGTTATTTAAAAAAACGCAGCTGATCTGTTGTCCCTTGGAACTGAGTCTATGACAATTTCTTTGCAGCCAACTCCTCAAGGCCAACTCGCTGTGGGACAAGAGTGTAAACTGATATCAAAGAAATGGTGGAATAGTATCATTAAAGAAAAGATGCAAAAGGAGGGACAGAATGAAAACTTAATGGCAAAAATATAAACAAGTTTTGTTTTAATTTTAAATAATTAAATTGAATTGATAAATTGTCCTGCGATGAATTGTCCCACAAAGAGTTGCCCGTGGCGAGTTGGCCGTAATGAGTTGACCATGGAGAGTTGGTCATGGTGAGGTGACCACAGCAAGTTGACTGTGGCAAGTTGTCCCGTTCCGCTTGCAACCACCTGGTAGCTGGACAAAAGATTGTCCGAATGCTTCTCCTTCCAATCAGGAATATATTCTTGAGGACAACTTTATAAACTATCAGGAATACAACTGAGGAAGGAGGAATCAAAATAATATCGAGCCTTTCTAGTAATTTCTAAACCCTGCAGTGAGGCTGCTGTTCTTATGATACAGTCCTCCAACACTGTAGGCTGTAACCACTTTAATAAGTGTGTTTTTTAGAACCTAATCATAGATGTATGCACTGGTGGTAATGCTCTGTCCAAGGTCTGGTAGATGCCTGTAATCACAACTGCCACCCCAGTCTTAAAATATCCATAGCCACTGTGTTTGCTCCATGTACCCACACTTAATAGTTAGTATAACATTTCTGATGGTTGATGCCAAAATAGCTACCACATTGGGAAAGGCTCTTTGAGGATGTGAAAACAATGCAAATGTCCTGTGGTTGTGTCCACTTTCTCCATTCTTTAATCATTCAAACAACTATCTAAACTCCCATGTTCCTGTCTAAAGAAATTAGATTGGTTTCTCAGCCATCTTGGAGTTAGATGCTAGATTCCCTCCGCTTTGATCAGAGGGGTTATCCAGGAATCGGACCATATTTCTTCTACCAAACAGGTGCCTGCCCCCGTTTGAAGCGTACCCTGGAGGATGCAATCACGGAGGAGACACGGATGAACTTTGCATGTTACAGTCCCCGTGTACATTACGGTAAGAGCTGATGGGGTTGGTCCTGGAAGCCTCACCCTCTGCAGCCTTATTCTTGAACTAATTTCAATCTTCTTCCCTGAAAAGCTGTTAACATCGCTTATGCTCACATCCACGGACCTGTAACCTCCCAGTTCAGTTCCTTGTGTCTTTTCCCTTCCTTCACATGGTGTCCTTTCATTTCTGAAAACGTTTTTGTCAGTATTGGCATGAGTTGCCTAGTGATCAAACTGAGACTTGCAGTTTTGAAAAAAAAAAAAAACCTCTCTCTCTTTTCTCTCTCTCCTCCTCTTCTCTCTCTTTCTCCCCCCCTCCTCTCCCCCCTCTCTCTCCTCTCCCTCTCTCTCTCTTCTTTCCCTCTCTCCTCTCTCTCTCCCCTGTTGTTTCCATTATTCCTATTTCAGTCCAGTCCAGTCTATCTATATCATATCCTATCTTATCGTATCCTGTCCAATCTGTTGAGGTAATTCCCCGTTAGGAGAATGAGCGCATATTTGAGAGAAGAGACATATTTGAGAGAAGTGTTTGAATAATACACACATAGCACACAGATACACTGTACAGTAAATGTAGGTTTTTACTTCCAGAAATGTTAAGCAAAGTCCAAAATAGGCAGTCCAAAAGTCATTCACAGGTAAAATCAGTCAGTTTTCATCCAGGGATAATCCAGTAACAAAAGTCCAGTGTCAAAAACAGTTCAGTATCAGACTTACATTAAATTCAGTAATATCAGTCAATTAGAAGAAATGGAGCAACGGCAATATTTTCCAACAGAAGGAAACAGAGACGGAGACACACTCTCTTCTGAGATTAAGACTAAAACTAAACAACCCAGGTTTCTGGCTCCATCCAATTGCATGCTCTTGCATTCCCTTAAAGATATAGTACTAAAATGTTTATCCTGGTTTATATATTTCTAACCCAAATAGCTGTTAGGTGACTCATATTCCTAACACAATCCAATTCCTGTTTCCCTCCCATTCCATTCCATTCTTTCTTATTCCTCTTCCATTCCATTCCTATTCCTATTCCATTCCATTCTATTGACTTGTGCACAAGCACAATAATGCTTGCCCTAACTAGTTATTTAGTTTTAGAGCATCTGTACCTTTTGGAGCTGTTTGCACTGTGTACCACAGTTACTTGGGTGCATCAGTGATGGTGGACCAGCACTATTTCCTCTTCCTTTCTGGCTTCGACAGCACTAGGTGCCATGATAACTGTTGTTAGGTACACCCCTATCACAATTCCTCCATGGCTATCACAAAACTACTTTGGGTCCTACCGGCCACGAGGTTAGAACTGGGCTCCTTGGTCAACAGCACTGACCATTCCATGCCCTATTATGCAACAACTTTGAAGCCCATTGATTATCAATCACTTCCTCCTCCTTTACTCCCAGCTTTGGCAGGTGGCCCAACCTGTTCTTCTAAGATTCCATCCAAATTTGACCCATCCCCTTCAAATTAAAGGAAGTGGTTAGTAGTGGGTTTTTTCCCCCTGCTGGTCAGTGATGTTTAAGTGGGACAGAAATCAAAGCCAGCAAAACCCATCACTCCCTTTGATTAACTTGACCTCAAATAAATAATTCAGCACTGCTTTCTGGACTCATTACTTTTCCTCAGGGATCTTCAAACCTGACAGCTTTAAGACTTGTGGACTTCAACTCCCAGAATTCCACCTCCAGTCATGTTAGCTCGGGAATTCTGGGAGTTGAAGTCTACAAGTCTTAAAGCTGTCAAGTTTGAAGGCCCTTGCTTTAGCTGAACAAGGATTGGCAATGAAGGCCATGCTGTATATGCCCAACTATTGTCCTGCTGCCTCGGGGACAACACCTGAACTTGATGATGTGGAAAAATCCCTCATTCTGACCATCAGTAGGGCAAAAGATGACAGTTTTTGTCTCCTCTTCATAGTGTTCCTGGTTCGAGTGGAGCGCGAGAGCCAAGAAAGCGCCTTCCGGGTCTATGAAGTTAAAATCAAGGAGGCCCTGCAATTTAGTGAGTAGTCTCCCTTTCGTGGGGTTTTTGTTGCCTCAGCTTTACTACTGTAGGAGATGACCAGGCTGAACTGAAGGGAGGGGTCAAATGCGTCATCAGTCTCGAATCCCTTTGGGCCCACAAGAGCTCACTGTCAAGCTGGCCCCAGTTTACTTCCTAAGAAAGAAAGACCCTCGACTCCATACGATTTAGAGAAAAAGATACTTTTACTAGAGTGCAACATAGATGAAGCAAGCTGAGTGCAACATGGATGAAGCAAGCTCTGAAGAAAAACCACATGAAAATCGACTTACAACAGTTCATTTAGTGACCATTCAAAGTTACATGACTGAAAAAAAGGGACTTAGGACTATTTTTCACACGCCATTGCAGCAACCCCGTGGTCATGTGATCAAAATTCAAATAGTTGGCAACTGACTCATATTTATGATGGTTATAGTGTGATGCCAGGGTCATATGATCCCCCTTTTGTGACCTTCTAACAAGCAAAGTCAATGGGGAAGCCAGAGTCACTTTACAAACGGGTGACCAACTTAACAACTGCAGTGGTCGACTTAACAGCTGGGGCAAGAAAGGTCGTAAAATGGAGAAAACTCACTTAACAACCGTCTCGCTTCGCAACAGAAATTTTGGGCTCAAATGTGGTCATAAGTCAAGGACTACCTGTAGAAATAGGCCCAGTGGAAAAGCACACCACCTCGTTAGATGCCTTTGTCAGGATTCCGGCATAGAGATGGACGGACCCAGCCATAGTACAAGCCATTCTGGGCTGGCAGGCCCCTCGTACCCGCAGACAGCTACAAAGCTTCTTGGTCTTCGCAAACTTCTACCAACAATTCATCCCCTCCTTCGCGAGGATTGCCAAACCCATGACGGACCTCCTAAAGACAGGGAGTCCAGGAACGAAACCCCACCCGGGACAACCTCTACAGTGGGACCTAACCTGCCAAAAGGCGTTTGAAACACTGAAAGAACTGTTTGCAAAAGAACCAGTACGGAAGCACCCTAACCCCGAACAACCTTTCGTCATTCAAGCAGACGCCAGTGATGTGGTAGTGGGAGCAGTGTTACTCCAAAGAAACAATCAAGGAATCTGTCCGACCTCTGGGGTTTTGTCAAAGGTGGCTGCCAGTTGTTCTGGTGAACCCTCTGGAAGGGTTCCCTGTGTGGGCGGTGCTTCTGTTTGATGGTGAGGAAGGAGTTGGGGTCTGTTTGCTATCCTCAGTCTGCTGCTGCCCCCCTGCCACCAGATGGTCGGGCCCCACTTGTCTAGCCAGGAAAGCCCCAGTATGACTGCATCTGTCATTTTGGGAACCACTACGAATCGAATGGTTTCCCAGTGATCTGCTAGCTCTAGTCTCACTAGACTGTATAGAAAATGTTCCATGAGTTTTATGATTCTTGACTCTTGACGAATGTATCTTTTCTTTTATGTACATTGGGACCCTATGCACCAAAGACAAATTCCTTCTGTGTCCAGTCACACTTGGCCAATAAAGAATTCTATTCTTCTATTCTATTCTATTGATAGCCTTCCTAGATGTATATATTTTTCAGATTTTCAACCTTAGATTTCTTTCTCTGTAGCTACGGACTCCAGAATTAAAGTCGGCCAGATCCGTCGCTTTGTGGTTCGGGCCGCTTGCAAGACCCGCTTGGCTGCAGGCAAAGAATATATGTTGATGGGACGCGATGGGGAAACTCGTGATTCAAATGACCGGTAAGCTGGGAAACAAGAACGGGAAATTTAGTGTGTAATGTGTTGTTAGAAAGACAGGAGGAGCAAATGCAGAAGTGTGAAGTTAGAGGTCATGGTATTTAAGTACAGTTAAGTATAACAAGAACAACAAAACTTCAAATCAAAGAATTGTTATATAATAATAGTGACATTCTTGAACTAATTATGTAATATTAAGATCACCGTTGTGCTATTACTTTTGTGTGGGTATGTTTATTTATTTATTTTTTATCTTCTACAACCAAACTTGGTAAATAGATGACTTAACCTCTGGAAACAAATACTGTGGGGGTAAGACACCTCTAACACCCCTCGGGGGGTGATATGTGCCTTAAAATGGCTTCTACTGTACAGCACAGTGGACTTGCCATGGTAACGGCTTCACAGTACTCCTCAAGGGGGCTCCCTCTTGTGGAGGAATAGAAGAATTGCGACGCTGCGCGAGAGACTGAACAACAGTGTGAGTCCCAACTACAGGATTTTCCTGTCTCACATAGGACGAAACAACCCAGGTTTCTGGCTCCATCTTATGGCCGTTTGAGAAACCACACCTAATTACAGTTTTGCATTTTCTTAAAGATACAGTTTTAAAATGTTTACCCTGGTTTATATATTTCTAACCCAAATACCTGTTAGGTGACTTATATTCCTAACACCACTCATGGTTTTCTATCAGTTTTGGTAGCCCCTGCCCTCAAAGAGGCTTCATAGCATACAGCTTGCCAGTGGGTTCTAATTCCCTTGGCTGGATATCTCCATGGCGTAGGGTTTCTTTCACAGCGTCTTCCCAGGGCTTGTTATGGTCCATCTCAAGGTCACTTCCCTAGACTCCAGAACACCGTAGAGCAACTGGCAAGGTGCATGGTGGCCATCCATTCTGATGACATGTCATACCCATTTGGGCGGGGGAGGGGTTGGACTAGATGACCTACAAGGTCCCTTCCAACTCTGTTCATCTGCATCTGTATCGTTTCATCTGGGTTCTGATAATCAGGGACACTCGATGTTGCTTTTCCAGCCCTTTGGGGAAGGGGTGTCATATCAGACCAGTCACTCAATCTTCTTTCTTTCTGCAGCCCCCAGTACCTTCTGGATAAGAATTCCTGGATAGAAGAGCTACCAGATCCTCGGCGTTGTAAAGCCACCCAGTATCGCAACACCTGCAGTCACCTGGAGTCTTTCACCACTTCCTTTGGTATAAACGGCTGCCGCATCTGAGCCAAATAACCCCTTGTGCCTTTGATGCACCAGGAACTGCGCCTCTTTTATGGAATACCCCCTGGCTGAAAACCTCCTCTTGAACGCTGTGTTGTGAGTCATTTAACACTCTGTGATTAGAGGATCTGAAGACACAAGAAGAATCTGTCTGCTTCAAAGCAGAATAACCAGCCTTGGGAGGGACCTTGGAGGTCTTCTAGTCCAGCCCTCTGGTTCAAGCAGGAGACCCTATAGTATCATTTCAGACAAAATGGCTGTCCAGTCTTTTTCTTAAAAACCTCCAGTGATAGAGCACCCACAATTTCTGGAGGCAAGTTATTCCACTGGTTAATTGTTCTAATTGTCAGGAAATTTGTCCTTATTTCTAGGTTGGTTCATTCCTTGAAAAGTTTTGTTGCTTCTTGTGTGGCCTTTAGGTGCTTAGGAGAATGGGGATGACCTCCATCTTCTTTATGGCAGCCTCTTACATATTGGAAGACCTATCACCCCTAGTCTTTTTTTTTTTTCATCAGACTAGATGTTTCCAATTCCTGCAACCGTTCTTCATATGTTTTAACTTCCAGCTAACTAATCATCTTCTTTGTTGATCTTCTCTGCATTCTTTCCAGAGTCTTTATATATATTTTTTATATTGTAGCAACCAAAACTGGATGTAATATTCCAACTGAAGTCTTACTAAGACATTTGGTAAAGCAAACTGAAGTACTTTTTATGAGAAAACAGCCTCTAAGTTATTAAATTGCTCTCTCAGACATTAAATTGCCTCTAATTTGGGAGATCTTTGGCTCAGTATTGACAACCATTCCTTTGAAAGTGTTTCATTCTGTCCCAAATTATTGTCACTACGCAATCATTTTCTATTCTGATGTGTGTCAATTTCAGTATTATTATTTTTTTCCTAGCCAAAGCCCACCATCCACTGCATTGATTATTTATAATCAGAAGTGCTTTCCATCATCCGAGAATGAATTATTTTCTGAACTCAACTCCACTTTTTCTTTGGGGAGGGGGGAATCAAAGCAAGTGAGGGTGTGTTGTGCTAAAATTGAAGAGCCACCCCCTTTTTCCTCTGTCCTAATTTTGGCTTTCCCAGAGATTTCATCACTACGCATTCAACTTTCTGTTTGGCTGGACAGACCTCTGGATTTTACATTCTCTCTCCCATTCAAATGTTTATAATCTAACAGTCTTTTCGCCTGTTTCTGGAGATCCTGAATTTTGGTAAGTCCTAGTAAAAAAAAAAATGTACAAAAATTCTCGGGGTTTGCAATTTCACAAACCAACATTTCCAGTCACCTCCCTGGGCAGCATCTATGTCTGAATAGTCTAACCCCCACCTCCCTTCCTCCAAACTGAGCTACCCTTTCAGTAATCCACTTAGCCATGCTGGTTAGGATTTAGGAATTCATAATCCAGTGTATCTAGACAACTTTTGACCCAACAGGTGTGTCTTACCATGAGTTGGCACTGTTTTGTACTACTTTTTCATGCAATAAAATAGTTTACTTTAGTTTTGTTTCCTGTTGCCGTTTGTTAATTCTTGATTCTGCTAAGGATTCTGCCGCTCCATTCTGCTACTCCTGTAATGGCAGCTTTCTTCTATCCCCAGGCTGAAAAAGTAGAGGCGGAAGGGAAATTTTTTTATCTAAGATTGTCTCCAGATTTGTATTCCCTGAATCAAAAGGCTAGCCCAGAGCTCTCCAAACTTGGCAACTTTAAGACTTGTGGACTTCCAGAATTCTTCAGCCAGCCATAATGGTACTACTCACAGCATCCGGCCCTCAGTGTTTTTAGACCAATGGACATTTAATTGTTAGTGAAAATAAAGGAATATGTTTTATTGCAAAGAAAGTCTAAAGATCAGTAGTTAAGACGGACAAGAGGGTGACCGTTACGATGTAATCAACATCTTGCCCCCCCCTTTTTTTTACATTTATTGCTCTTTTTTTAAAAAAAAAAAAACCTCCCCTGCAGATCTCCAGATGTCTGGGGCAAAGTATGCCAGGTTTTAAACCAGTTTGGGAAATCAGGATTTTTAACATTCCTTTGATCTGCAGGTCATCATACATCCTCTTTATGCTCTTCATCAGCCTGCAATGTTTGTACATCAACCTGCTGTGTGAGTCATTGGCCTGTTTCTGGCCAGTTACAACCCTCACTTGGAATAAAGGGGAATACAGAAATAAGAATAATTGGGACCTGATTATCTTTTGTTTTTGTCAAGTATCTTAAATCAGCTGGAAAGGACACCTATTTAGAGCTAAATAAATCTCTGAATCAATTCAGAGGATTTGTTTCCTCCGAGACAGTTTAGTTTTTGTTTTACATCCGAAATAAACTGATCTCTTATTTCTTACACTCAAAAAGGCCCAAACTACTAGGTATCCCAAATCTTCTCTCTTTCAGTTTAGGAGTTATGCATGGGGGAGAAATAAGGTTTTCTCACTTCTGCTATTAAACAACTGAGAATTTGAAATTCTTGTCAATTTAATGCAGAGGTCTCCAAACTTGGCAACTTTTAAGACTTGTGGACTTAACTCCCAGAATTCTGCAGCCAGCATAGCTGGCTGGAGAATTCTGGGAGTTAAGTCCACAAGTCTTAAAGTTGCCAAGTTTGGGGACCCCTGCGGCTAGCCCTACACACTTCCTAGTGGAGAAATGGCCAGATGAATACCTTAAAAAAAACACAGCTATACAGGGAGTTCTTGACTTATGACCACAATTGAACCAAAATTTTCGGTTGTTGTTAACATAGAACAACAGAGTGGCAAGGGACCTTGGAGATCATTTAGTCCAACCCCTTCCTCAATCAAAATAATGTTAAGCAAGATTAATGTTAAGATAAGAGTTTTGCCCCGCTTTACCACCTTTCCTGTCCTCTGTTGCTAAGTGAATCGCTGCTGTTGTTACGTTAGTAACCCGGTTGTTTAAGTGAATCTGGCTTCCTCGTTGACTTCGCTTATCGGAAGGTCGTAAAAGGGGATTGCATGACCACAGGGCACTGAAACTATCATAAATACGAGCCAGTTGCCAAGGTTGATCACGTGACCACAGGGATGCTGCAATGGTCGTACGTGTGAAAAATGGTCATCAGCAGGCGTGGTATTCAACCAGATCTGGACAAACCGGGTAGCAGAAATTTTGAGTAGTTTGGAGAACCAGCCAATACCACCTCCGACTGGCCCCACTCCCATCTATTCTCCGCCTCCCAAGTCCCAGCTGTTTGGCTGGGTCTTCTTTTGTTGCCCTGCACAGGAAAACGGAGCTGGAAAGCAGGTTAGTGGGGTGGGGAGGGAATGGGGATTTTGCAGTATCCTTTCCCTGCCTTGCCCACCAAGCCACGCCCACCAAGCCACACTGCACCCACCAAGCCCCACCCCGCTCACCAAGCCACGCCCACAGAACCAGTAAGTAATTTTTTTTTACTACCACCGCTGGTCCTAAGCCACATATTTCAGGGACATTGTGACTTTGAACGGACACTAAGCAAACTGCTGTAAGTCGAGGACTACCTCTGCTAGCATCCCAATTCCTCTTGTGGTCTATCCTGCCTAGAGAGTCACCATTGGGAGAAGCCAATCTGCAAGTCAGCTAGAATGTCCCTTTGAGCTAAAAGCAACACTTCAACTTTGGTGGCAGAGATGTTCCCAAAACAGACCAAATCTGCTTGGAAATATCTTCCGCCACCAATTCCAAAGTCATGGGATGAACCGCTTTGATGTTCCAACATGAGTGGGTGGGGAGAGGGTTTCAGGCAACAGAGAACAGCTTTACAAACCACAGTTAGGCCCACAAACCAGAATCTGCCTGTCTCTTCCCTAGAATGTTGCTTGCCAAGAAAAACAACTTCATATTTGAGGAGGGGGGAAAAAAATGCAGGTCTGGAAAGATATGATCCTTCATGATTCGTACAGGGTGTTGTTGTTTTTTAACACAGTTTAACATTCCTGCAAAAAGAAACAAAACTGAGACATAAAACTCTTTGTGGCTGGCAAAATAAACATGAATTACAGCTATACCATAAACACTACTGCAATAAACATGCTGCAAAACATCAGTTTAAAAAATGCAAATGAGAAAAAAATGTGTCTCTGAGAACGTACCTGTGCTTTTTTTAACATGAATATATTATCACTCTCATTGATGTTTTCATAAAGATAGAATAGAAGAACAGAGTTGGAAGGGACCTTGGAGGTCTTCTAGTCCAACCCCCTGCTTAGGCAGGAAACCCTATACCATTTCAGACAAATGGTTATGCAATTTCTTCTTAAAAACTTCCAGTATTGGAGCATTCACAACTTCTGGAGGCAAGTTGTTCCACTGATTAATTGTTCTGTCAGGAAATTCCACCTTAGTTCTAGGTTGCTTCTCTCCTTGGTTAGTTTCCACCCATTGCTTCTTGTCCTGCCTTCAAATGCTTTGGAGAATAGTTTGACTCCCTCTTCTTTGTGGCAGCCCCTGAGATATTGGAACATGGCTATCATGTCCTTCTTTTCATTAAACTAGACATCCCCAGTTCCTGCAACCGTTCTTTATATGTTTTAGCCTCCAGTCCCCTAATCATCTTGGTTGCTCTTCTTGGCACTCTAGAAAGGAGGCTAAAACATGTGAAGAACGGTTGCAGGAACTGGGGATGTCGAGTCTCAAAATCTTTTTTATACCATGGCGACCAAAACTGAATACAGTATCCCAAGTGTGGCCTTACCAAGGCATTATAATTTTTCCTCCAAGGAAAGATTTCCCCCACCCCCCAAGGGACAGGAATTTTGGCTGTAAGTTGTTGCAGTTACAAATCAAGGCAACTCCATTCTCTTGAATGGGGTTTGGCCCAAAACAGAACAAATAGCCACAAATTTTGGTCCCGTGACGGGATGCAACAACTGGTCATAAATGCAAATAAATTGCCAAGCATCCGAAATACAATCATGTGACCATCATAATGCACCCTTTCCAAGGCCATAGTAACTTCAAACGGCCATTAAACAATTGGCTGTAAGTCAAGGATTACCTGTGCCGTGCATTCATCCTATGCCTCTCTGTTACATCTCATCCACATTAGTGCACACGATCGATTCAACAATAATCCTGACCATTTTAAAAATCAGGGAAACTTACAGCTCCTATATGGCCCCCAGCAAACCATGTGCACCCCCAAAATCACACTGACAATTTTGGCTGAATTCAGATGGTGCAATAATGCTGTTTTTCAAAGGTCCCAATTAAAGAGCAAAATGGGAATAATTATCGCTCAAAAGCATCCTTCCTCCATTTCTTTTCTTTAAAAAAGGAGGGGCTGAAAGCTTGAGGCCTGACCACTTATCCAAGGATGTTAGATGACTGCCAATTCTCCAGAAGATTGACAACAGACCAATAACAAAGAATATTTGTAACTTGGGGTTGAAATGAGTGGTCCTTGGTGCTCTCTGAGTGTGCTTGTTTTCCTGCAGACGTTTGATTATCCAAATTAAGTAACATCATCACTGCTAGTAAGGACTGGGGGTTGCCTTCAGTTTATATAAATGCTAGATAATTTCTAGAAGCCTGGTACTCTGACAAATTAGCCATCAACAGATACATAGACGTAAACAATATCTACCTACTGTGCAAAAGGGACAATCGACAAGCCAAAGAGGGAATAAAAAGACCAAAATACCTCCTCACCAGCAATCAGCACCCAGATGAGCATAAATTGCTTCCAAGGTTAACACCTGACCAATAATCAAGAAGTAAACAATACCCCAATCAAGGAACTGCCAAACAAACTAACAATAAACAGGCCAATCTAAGAACCTCCAAGACCACTCCCATCAACACTGACAGGACAATCCACTAGAACAGACTCGTCAAACTCAAGGCCAAATCCGGCTCGCGATATGGTTAAATCTGGCCTGCGGAGCCATCCTGGAAACGGCAAAGGATCGGCCTGTGGTGCCTCGGCCCAGCCCAGCCCAGGTGGGCGCTGATCTACAACTTGGTGGTGGCTATCCAAGCCAGAACGTGGTCAACTTAGATCTTTGGGGCTTCCCTGGAGCGAGCAAAGGGCTGCCATCCCCTGGGAGTGTCCCCAGGAGGCAGTGAGCGTGTGGGGCCTGGCATCCCTGGGGACCACCTTGCCCTGCAGGCCGACCGTGTTCTGAGGGCTTCCCGTTCACCCAGGATGCCCGCACTCTCCACCTCAGCGGGGCAGTCTCTCGCTGGCTCCAGGGCAGCTGCACAGGTCGGATCTAAGGCAGAGGTGGTATATTCAGCAGGTTCTGACCAGTTCTGGAGAACCGGTAGCGGAAATTTTGAGTAGTTCGGAGAACCGGCAAATACCGCCTCTGACTGGAGGTTTTACAGTATCCTTCCCTTGCCACACCCACCAAGCCATGCCTACAGAACCGGTAGTAAAAAAAAAATTTGAACCCCACCACTGATCTAAGGCCACACCAAGTTATACAGGGGTGGGCTGCTGGGGGTTCGCAGGGGTTCAGGAGAGCCCCTAGCTAAGAACCCCCAAATCCCACTCCT